GCATCATTCAATTGCTCGCATAAATGTATGTCTTTCTGAACGCTTGATGAATTTGGTTTAATTAAACGCTTGATAGCCGTTTTAACCATATACTTTTTTTGTTACACCAAATTTTATTCGGAACAATCTCGCTTTTTTTAAAATAGCATGATGTGTTAGAGTTAACACATCATATTTGAGAAATTGTCGAACGAAAAATAGTAATGTTTCGTACTATTCACGACCAAAATAAAAGGCAATGGAGTGGCCCAAAAACAGAATCAATTTTCAACCCTCGTATATCATTGGGCAGTGTCATTTTGAATGCACTTGAAGTGAATGGATCGAGAGTGGCGCAGGTATATTTACACTCCATATCAAAAATACAGTAATTTAACATCAAACAATTGAAAAAATGATCTAAAAATACATGGTGATTTTTTACTAGATTTGTGCGAAAACAAATAAACAAACAACATTTGCTGACCTTCACACACTAACAATTCGTGCAGCAAAAAAGTTTCAACACTATGGATTTAAAAAGGGTCAATTGATTTTCGTTTTAACTGATAATTCAGCTGATGTTCCGCCCCTGGTGTTTGCTGCATTGTGTCTGGGATGTGTGGTGACATCATTGCCATTGTGCTATACAAAGTTGGAATATTCACAGTATTTCAGTATTGTAAGGCCAAATTATGTCATTTGTGATTTGAAATTTTATGTTACATTGAATGAGTGTTTCATGGACTTAAGCATTGTTGATGTGGAATTTTTCACGTTTGATGGTCATTTAGACGAAACTCATCCGATTGAAAAAATATTCGAAGGAAATGATTCTGATCTATATTTTGTGTGAGGATAACAACAAATTTCAATACATTCCTGTGTAGAAACTATACCATTGTTCTTGTTTAGTCCAACAGAAGTAAGCGGTGTGACTGATGCAGCATTCATTTTTCAAACCAGTGGTACGAGTGGGCAAACCAAAGGTAATAATTGATCATGGTATTAATCGTTGAAAATGCGTATTTTCTTTAAATCCTCCAGTAATAATAAGATGAGTTTTAGGTGTTTGTATATCACACGCTGCTGTAATAGACAAAATTCAACGATTTTCTCAGTTCATAAAATCAACGGACATTATAATGGGGCTCATAAACTTGGACAGGATAACAATAATCAGGTATCTCTTTGCGGCAACATTGTATGGTGCGACGCGATTGGTGAATGTGCGTCCATTTACTGCTGAGCGGTTTTTTGAGTTGGTTGAACGCTATGAGGTGACAAACGTCATGGAGTCACCACATAGAGTAGCTGAATTACTGAACCATCCACAAATTGAAACGGCCAAATTATTCAGCATAAAATATTATACATGTGGTAGTGCATATTTATCATATGATGCCATTCGAAAAATGGGCAGTTATTTGAATGGTGGACGATTTTGTCGCGCCTTTGGAATGACTGAGACGGTGTCAACAATAGCCGCAAATCTCAATCATTCAAAAAATGATTGCGTCGGACAGTTGATTAGCGGTTGTGTTGCGAAAATAATCAACGAAAAAGGTGAAAGACAGGGTATCAATGAAGACGGTGAACTATGTATAAAGCTGTCATTTCCATTCCTTCGTTATCTTGGCGACAGTGAAAAAACACGCAATTATTTTGATGAAGAAGGATTCTTTGCTACCGGCGACATTGCACGTTTCGATTCGACTGGCGATTTATTTATTGTTGGAAGAAAAAAAGAACTTTTCAAGTGTAAAAATGAGCATGTAACACCGACACAAATCGAAGAATTTCTTAATAAAATCGATGGCGTAGAATATTCTTGTATAGTGCCAATACCAAACGAGGAATGTGACAATTTACCCGCAGCTATTGTGGTGAAAAGTATAAATTCGACATGCACTGAAGATTCGATTTATGAAGCTGTTGCAAGTAAGACGTAAAATCGTAAAGTTTTCGAGGATATTTACAAATTGTATGTATTTTTAGATGCGTTCTCTCGGCACAAATGGCTTGACGGTGGCGTTTACTTTGTGGATTCATTACCGATGACTTCTTCACGTAAAATCAAACGACATTTGATCGCAAAAATGACCATTTTTACCATGACTAAGTTGACCAAACATCCAGAGACTGTTGAACATATTAATTAAAAATATTATTACCAAAAATAACAACAAATAAAAGTGAGACGGTTCTCACAAAAAAAAAGTTGAATAAATCATCAAGTTTTTACGTTTTTTTGAAAACCAATTTTCCTAAACCAACTTTTATTCATGGCGACAACTTCCACTTAAATTTTTTTCAATTAAAAAATGTATTCCCTTTTATTTTTTCAATATCTTGCCCGATAAAAAAGCAACAACTTTTTTCAAATCATTGTTTCACAAGCCATAGAAAACCGAGTCATTTCACTTTTTGTTGCAATCAGTTTTTGCGAATACACCATATGACATCATCGTGCCATTGCACTTTTTCATCTTGATTCGTGCGTTTTTGTCATAGTTTCCAGAGTTTATGAGTGTACCGTGAATTTTCACGTAAATTGTTGGTTTGTATAACATTTTTTTTTCTTTTACAGAAATTTTCTCGTTTTCACCATTTTGTCGCTAACCGTTTGCATGTGATGTCACTATTGACCATACAAAAGAGTTTTGAGTGCGATGTCGACTCACGCAATGTTCTTTGCGAAAATTAATTTTATTTGGTAGTTCATGTGTTATTTATTCAACATATTCACACAAATAAACCTTATGGAAAGCGTTTTTTTCTCGTTTAGCAACACTTTTGACCTTTTCATTCATTCATGTGAGTTTGATTACTTGTGGAAACTTCCTTTTTGCGGAAAAACAATAATAAATATTTACAAACACACATTAATATTTGAAAAGTTTCAATAGGGAAACATTGTACAGAAAACAAATTTCCGCATGGAATAAAAGTTACCCTGAGTTGACGATTTTTAAAAATGTATTGTTTAAATTTGGTGAAAAATGGAAAAAACGGTGTATTGAAAGCATTTTGGTTTATTCAATTCATAATCAATCAACAACACTTAAAAATTCCAATAAAAATTAATTTCTGTTTTTTGGTGGAAAAGCTGTATCTGACTGAACAATGATTTAAGCAGCTCAACATAAACATATATATACCAACCAAAAATATTTATATGCATCATATTAAAATTCAATTCATGCAACATTTTTGGTCAAACAAAAGGTCTTTTGTTAATTGTCGAAAGTATTTCGATAAAAATCTCACCTTTGTTGAAACCAAAATGAATGAGTACATTAAAATTTGCATCTTAATAGAGTTTTAGCATGCTAAATTTTGCTAGTAAATTGTTAATCGACAGGTGCATTCTTTAAAATGAACCAACTGCATAAAATATGTGTATATGGTTTGAAAACAAGGCGATTCAATCGACTCTATAATAATGCATCGTTGTAGCAAAATAACACATCAACCACATTGTATTAACACATTTAAAATAATCCAACACATACACTCTATATGAATGCTTGAGAAAAATAATGACTCAAATATTTCTAATTTGAAGGATGAAACATAAGGAAAAATAACTATGAATGAAATTTGGAAAAAAATTATCAATAATTGAAACGTAAAAAAATACCAAATGGATATTTATTTTATTTCACTCTTGCGAGTTCAAATTTTATGATTCAAATTTGCCTACATTTGGGATATTTTTTTCTTATGAATCGATCTTGTGAGTTGTTTTATAAAGTTTCACTCTTAGTAATGCACATTTTTTTATGTTTCATTCAGTGACCGGTTCGCGCATATTTCTATGCTTGCCTAAATACGCTAGGTAGCATAGATATGCCAAGTATAGCCGCAAACGCAACCGATGCATCGCCGTTCACTCTATATGAACAAAACACATGTTCGTTTATGCAGACGACCGTGCGCATACAATATAGCTCGAATCGAATGGCGACGGTTGCGTTGCGGCTTGCGTCTCCGCTATGCTTAGCATAGCTATCAGGCATAGAAATATGCGCGAACCGGTCACTGGTTTCATTTTCGAAAATTAGAAATAATTTGAGTCATCATTTTTCTCAACCATTCATATGTGGACCCATTATCGATGCTGGAAAATGTGAATATTCAGCATTTTCGGTTTTTGTGCGGCGCACACACCCTCACATTTCCCTATGTAAATCTTTGCCGCTGGTTATTCGAGAAGACCACTTCTATATCGAATCCAATAAAATGCTCCACAATCACTTTTTTACCACATTGGCAGTGATTGTTTTGAAATAATTAATTTTCCGAGTTCCAATAAAACATCGAATTATTTTGAAATAACAGATTTAATCATAAATCCATGCTCAACAACCGATGTTAGCATCAGAGAGACTCTTTAAAATTCAATAAATGCACGTATTTTCTGAAAGTTTCGTCCTCTATTCGAAGAAAGCTTCGATGCATTCAAAAATAAAATTCAATAAATGAATCAATCACATAGTTTGAAACGACTTGAATTGTTGCATTTCAATTAAAAGCAGACTTATTTTGTAGATTAAAACTCTTTCATTTGCATGAAAATCGTATTGAATAACATCCCATTCTTTAGGACAAGTTAAAAGTTCACTTTGCACACAAGAAAAGGCTGAAATCTTCATTCAGTTTGAAAATTGATTCTATAAATTTTCTCTAGGGTTTTCATTGACAATGTGAATGGCTTGTTTTTGAACGAAATTGATTTTCCGAACACACAATAGAGTTCAGATACGTTTCACACCCAACAATTTTCACTGTGCTCTAATTCAATTCATTCGGCTCGCTTTCACTCTGTTGTTTGTAAAAATTGGAAAATGTTTTACATTTGGCCATGCAATTATGTGTGTTAAAAATATTCCATTGAATTGAAACGTGCATTTAACAATTACATCTCCTTCACTCTCTTCTCTCCTTTATCTTAACTGTCTGTGTTTGTAATGAAGTGTGATTGCCGATTTATAATATGAAAATTGCGAATAATGGCTGAAATTCACAAAAGGAACTTAAATGTAACTCTCTTCGTTGTGAAATGTAGTTATTCTGATGACAGAGACAAAAACCAATTGAATTGGACCACAAAGCGTTCATTAAGAACAAAATATCTCTCTGTATATGTCTAAATTGAAATGATTGCATTTTCACTGTTGCCAAAATGTCTTTGCTGTGTATATAGATGTGTGAATAGCATACATAGTGTGTAATTAGTGCAGACAATTTTACGTTCAAACTGAATTCCAATTGTGTAAGCGTTGATATCTGTCATCTAACCATAAATGTGACGATTAATTGGAAATTTACAAGGTCTATCTTGCTATATTCAGACTAAATCAACCTCAAACTTTGAGGCTCAAAGGCAAAATGCTGCGTAGAAATATCTTTGGTCAAATTCGGATACATATGCGTATTATTCACACATTCGATGGTAGTTAATGTGCAGACAATATGTATCAAAAGTATTTCATTTTATTATTAAAGTCTTAAGAATAAATTTGGCTCAGTTAAATTTTAAATAGTACCCCGAACGTACGGAACAATAGACATTGGGCTATTTAAAAATTTTTTTCAATTTTTCAAGCAAACAAAACCCTATAAAATGTGTAGTCGAAATTTTTGATAAACCCGTCAAAGTATTCAAAATCGTTTGTAACAACACTCATTTGGATGGCTTTGATTTTTGGCCGTGGAATTAACTTAAACTTTGAAGATAAATACCTTTCTACAAAAAAAAATGATTAGAGTTTCAGTTTCAATTGAAAGTTATACAAAAAATCACATTATGCATTGGAAATTGACGCACAATTAAAATATGCGACATCTGCAAGTTGATAATTTAATAAATGCAAATTCATTTCAATGATTTGATTCGCATAAAAAATTGTGAGAAAAAAGTCCCTTTTATCTTCATTGTTTGTTGTTGTTTGACACTGTAATTGATCAACTTCTTAAGAAAAGCTTAAGTAAATTCCAACTATTCAACAGATGGAAAAACTTGGAACAGCCTTCTGAATACTAAGGAAGGAATGTGAACTATTTCAAAAGTAACAGGGTATTAGTGGTAGTACTTTTGAGTTTATTTAAAATGTCGAGATGTATTTTGAATCATGAATATGATTTCATTCCAACGACAGATACACTGCGCAGGGGCAATTCTTCAATTACATTGTATTTAAGCCATTTTTATAAGGTTGTGTTCGCTAGTAAAATGGTATAATTAAACATTTATCAAGTGAAATAACTTTGAATGAATACGATATGAATGCGTCGTTTTGTTGCGATAAAAACGTAAAATATGATAAAGAAATGACTGAGCTGTGGCTGATAAAAGAGATCACCTTTTTCCCTGCAGTCTTTAAATTCAATGAAATTAAATTAAACTTTGGTTCCGAGCAAGTGTTTAACCATATTATAATAAAATTTGCATCAGACGCACTTTTACACATATTATACATGTGCAACATATTACTTTCAATGCATGAAGTTTGATTGCTATTTTAAAGTTTATGTTGCAACCACATAAAATAACCGGCAACATGCAACAACGCAAACTATGCACAAAATCCATAAAACTGAAACACTGTGTGCAATTGTGCATTGTGCAATGTACATTGTTTTTCCGATAAACGTGTACGGTAAAAACCGTGACAAACGAATGCAAATAGCTTATCTTAAAAACATTTTGTGCACATATCACGTTGAATAATAATATGTTTTCGCTTTGAAAATGTAACATTATTAATGCTCATTCGCATTTTTGAAGAATTGCAATAAATGACACTTCACTTGCGTTGATTCATCGCATTAGAAAATTTATTTTATGATTTTGCCGGTATGAACAATGAACAAGAACATGCCATATAAATGATTATGTTATGATTTTCTAACTTTAAATAAATATTACGATAACAGTTTGTTTTTTCAACATTTTCTTCGAATTTATCATACAAATTATCTTAACTGCTGGAAGTCCCATTTTTTTCGACACACTTTTGTACAAGACATGTAATTTACTACATGTAATTTTCTTGACACTTCGACATGGGTGGCAACCCAGTTTCCCAGGGTCTTCTTTCCTTTTTGCATACCTAACTGTAGGCGCTCTTATACGGTGTTCAAAAACAGACGGTTTTTGACTCCTTTCTTAA